GTTGTGTGTGATGTTGTTGTGGTTAGATGCCATCAAGTCGGTTTTGACTCTTAGCGTGTAATAGGAACATCATATTATCTGAGGGTGTTACAGAAATTAGATGTGAAGTTTCTTATATGTGATGCTAAGGAGCATCAGAAGTTATCTTTCACTTAGTTTGTTACCAGCTTTGGGACCATGACTTTTCTTTTAATTCATTCAAAAACTATTTTTTAATGTCTACTGTGTGCAGCTTGGAGCCCTGGTGGTGCAGTAGTTAAGAGCTTGGCTGCTAACTAAGAGGTCTGTAGTTCCAGTCCTCCAGCCTCTCCTTGGAAACCCTATGGGGCAGTTCTAACTGTCCTTTAGGGTTGCTATGAGTCAGAATCGACTCAATAGCAACGAGTTTGGTTGTTTTTTTTTTAATGCACAGTTTATTGTACTTAAGGCTAGGGATACAGAGGTACAGTGACACACAGTGCCCATGATGACCCTATAGAGTTTTCTGTCTAAAGGAGAAAATAAATAAATTTAAAAAGCAATTACAAGGTCACAATAGCTGGTAAGCTATTGGGGCTATCAGAGGAGTCATCTCAGTGTGATGCTTACTCTTGTTTTTTCTTTCCTTAGGCTACATGTTGATTTTTTGTTAAATTTTGGTGATAAAAGTTTCTTCAAAATCTTGTTAAGGTATCTCAGGTGACCTTTTTTCTATACCTTCCATCTACCTCCTAATTCTTCATCTGTACACCCTGTCTAGTCTCATGTCCTTCCAGGTAGATTAGCAAGGCCTCGTTTTTAGTGTTTAGTCTCATATCTCTTACTTTTGTCTACGCCATTTAGCTATGCTTTTCTATTCAACATTTATTCAAATGCTCTAAACCCTGTCTTCTACAAGAAGAATAGTGATCATTTCTTTCAAAAATCTGATTCTTACAACTCTCTCTTAATCCACCACTTTGCTGAATACACTGTAATTATTTTTTGCCTAGTTTTTATAAAATCAATATGTTCTTAGCCACTGAACTAAACATGTATGATTCAGTTGATCTAGGATAGAACAGAAGAGCTTTGAAACCATCAGAGAGGTTGTAGATATTAGCCAATTAATTCAAAGAGCAAAAATTTCAGAATAGCATGCAGATAGGGAATCTGGACTACATCAGTTCTCAAGATATTTTCTTATTTTACGTTAGAAAGCCTTCACCCTAAAATATCCTTCTGAATCCATAAGAAAAAGTTCAGGGTAATTCAAAGAGAACTGAACACTTTCCAAAATTTTGTTATTAAATAACTGGACTTGCATATATGAACATGTAGTCAAAACCAATTTCAATGTAATAATATATATCAACTAAAAGTATAAAAATCATTTTGTAGATAAGTTAAATTGTTATTTCTGTGATGTGACAAATACTCAATATATGCCCTTGTGCCACTGGCATATTAATTTATATTAGACTTTTATATCTATATCAGGATGCAGTAGTGGTTCAGTGGTAGAATTCTTACCTTCCATGTGAGAGACCAAGGTTTGATTGCCAGAGAATGCACATCCAAGTGCAGCCACCACCTGTCTGTCGGTGGAGGCTTGCATGTTGCTGTGGTGCTGAACAGGTTTCAGCAGAGCTTCCAGAATAAGACAGACTAGGAAGAAAGGCCTGATAATGGACTTCCAAAAAATCAGCCAGTGAAAACCCTGTGGATCACAACAGTTCAATCCCGTTGTGCATTGAGTTGCTGTGAGTCAGGGCCCGACTCTATGGCAGCTAACAACAATATCATATATCAGTGGTTGAAATGGCAGCCATGATGCATCTCTTCGTTTCCTCAAAGCTGCTGCAAATTACACTTGAATGCCATGTGTTTATATGAAACCTAGTTACTGAGTAATATAATTTTAAAGTATTTGATTGTTTTTGTATCACCCTTTATAATGCTTTTGCCAAAAAGAATCTTCCAACTTAATGAGAACCCCAGTTTTTGTTTTGTGTATGTTTGTGTGTGTGTGTTAAACCTTCTTATTGTAAAATAAAACACATACAGAGACCACACCTAACAAGTTGTTGTTAGGTGCCTTTGAGTCAGTTCCAACTAGATAGCAACCCTTCGTACAACAGAACGAAACACTGTCCGGTCCTGTGCCATCCTGACCATCATCATGCTTGAACCCATTGTTGCAGCCACTGTGTCAGTCCATCTCATTAAGGGTCTTTCTCTTTTTCGCTGACCCTCTGCCAAGCATGATGTCCTTCTCCCGGGACTGGTCCCTCCTGATAACATGTACAAAATATGTGAGACGAAGTCTTGCCATCCTTGCTTCTAATGAGCATTCTGGCTGTAGTTCTTCTAAGACAGATTTGTTCATTCTTTTGGCAGTCCATGCTATATTCAATGTTCTTGGCCAACACCATAATTTAAAGGCATCATTTCTTCTTAAGTCTTCCTTCTTCATTGTCCAGCTTTCACATGCATATGAGGCAATTGAAAACACCATGGCTTGGGTCAGGCACACCTTAGTCTTCAAGGTGACGTCTTAGCTTTTCAACACTTTAAAGAGGCCTTTTGCAGCAGATTTGCCCAATGTAATGCGTCTTTCAATTTCTTGACTGCTGTTTCCATGGGTGTTGATTGTGGATCCAACTAAAATGCAATCCATGACAACTTCCATAGTTTCTCCATTTATCATGATGTTCCTTGTTGGTCCAGTTGTGAGGATTTTTGTTTTATTTATGTTGAGGTGTAATCCATACTGAAGGGTGTGGTCTTTGATCTTTATCAGTAAGTGCTTCAAGTCCTTTTGACTTTCAGCAAGCAAGGTTGTGTCATCTGCATAATGCAGGTTGTTAATGAGTCTTCCTCCAATCCTAATGCCCTGTTCTTCATATAGTCCAGTTTCTCGGATTTTTTGCTCAGCATACAGATTGAATAAGTATGGTGAAAGTATACAACCCTGACACACAACTTTCCTGATTTTAAACAACATGTTATCCCCTTGTTCTGTTCGAATGACTGTCTCTTAGTCTATGTACAGGTTCCGCCTGAGCACAATTAATTGTTCTGGAATTCCCATTCTTTGCGATGTTATCCATAATTTGTTCTGATCCACATAGTCGAATGCCTTTGCATAGTCAATAAAACACAGGTAAACATCTTTCTGGTATTCTCTGCTTTCAGCCATGATCCATCTGACATCAGCAAACAAGAGTTTGCTGACATCACTCTAAAAGACTGTAACTTAATGAGTGAAAATAAGGTGAACCTTCTTAAAACCACCACTTAGGTTAATAGATAGACCTTTGCCAGCCACCCCAGAAACTCTTCCATGTGCCCCATCCCAGTCATAACCCTCCCTCCTCACAAAAGTAACCTTTATCTTGACTTTTATAGTAATCATATCTTTTAATTTCTTTATAGTTCTAGACACTTAGCTAATCTTGCCCATTTTTGAAATTTTGATATGTCTTTTGATTATCTTTTAACATATAGGTTCTCTCTCCATCCCTTTCTTTTCCTTATAGTTTGTCTATTGAGGAATTCAGCTCTTTTGACTTGTAGAGTTTTCCTCAGTCTGGATTTTGCTGAACTTATGGTGTAGGTCAGCATATTTCTGTCTGTGTTTTCTGCAAATTGGCATCTAGATTCGGTAATCGGTCTTAGGTAATCAGTCTTGTATTTGATCACTTTGGCAAGATCCTTAGGTGTTGTGCTCTCTCATTAGGAGGTATATAATGTTTCTCTTTCTGTGATGTGAGCAGTTGCTGATCCTTAATACTTACAGCCATTAATTACTCAGAGATGATAAAAAGGTGATATTCTGATAATTTCTTTTTCACTTATTAGTTGAAATGCTTTTATAAAGAGACACTTCCCCTTATGTGCCCAATGGTACATGAACCGTAACTGAAGATAAGTGTATTAATGTGCATAAGTGGGAAATTCCTAGGTAGATTTAATTTTGAACAGAACCTCTTGGTGTTGAATGGAAGCTTGATAAATCTGGGGAAATGAATTTATATATATGTTTGATGAGTATTTATTGAGTGGTTATTCTGAGTCAACTACAATGCAAGGTGTTAGGATACAGTGGTGAATTAGTCTAGGGGAGATTATGATTAATTGTTATGAAAGAGACATTTCAGGGAGGCCTGATTTAGATTAGTGGTCAGGAAAGGCCTCTCTATAGAAATGTCATTTAACTTGAATCAGGAAGGATGAGTAGAAATTAGTCAAACAGAGAGAGGAAGAAGGTTACAGGCAGAGAAGACATTATATGCTGTGGCCTCTTGTTGGGAAGGAGCATGGCTTGTCAAAAGATCAGAAAAAAAGGCCAGTGTGGCTAGGGTGAGAGGTTTACTGTAAGAGGCAGATAAGAGCATAATCATATGTTAAAGCCTTATAAATAGTGTTAAATATCGTGGGATTTATTTTAGGTGCAGTGAAGAAAATTTTACCCATAGGCTTACACTGGAGTCTGTTGTTATTAGGTGCCATTGAGTTGTTTCCAACTCACAGCCACCCTATGTACAAACGGAACAAAGCACTGCCCAGTCCTGCGCCATCCTCACAGTCGTTGTTATGCTTGAGCCCATTGTTGTAGCCACTGTGTCAGTCCATCTTGTTGAGGGTCTCCCTCGTTTTCTCTGACCCTCTACTTTACGGAGCATGATGTCCTTCTTCAGGGACTGATCGTTCCTGATAACCTGTCCAAAGTATGTGAGACATAGTCTCACCATCCTCGCTTCTAAAGAACATCCTGGTTGTACTTCTTCCAAGACAGATTTGTTCATTCTTTTGGCAGTCCGTGGTATATTCTTATGTGGTATATATATTATACTGGAGTCTGAGCCTATGTAATGTACATCTCTTTGTTTACTATCACCCTTAGGATGACTATTCTTGATTAGTTGCAAAGTAATCATTCCTGTTTGTTTCAAGCCTTACGTAGCTATCCTAGAAGCCTCTAAAAGAAAGAGGGCTGAAAAGAATCCTAAAAGCCATTCTTTTGGTTATGTTCAAAGGTATCTGGAGAAGCCAACGAAACTCAGATTGCAGAGGCATTGAAGCGGTACAGTGAGCGGGCATTCTTTGTCCGAGAAGCTCTCTTCCACCTTTTTAGCCTGACTCATGTGATGGAAAAAACAAAGCCAGAAATTTTAAAGGTAAGACTAAGAAGGTGGATATGACAGTTTAAAAATTCTTTCCCTGGATACATGATGACTTTGTGAAGATTTGGTGAAAATTTGCACTTAGTCTTTACTTTTTATTTATAATGGGGTTGATGAAGTGTGATTTCAGTTATTAGCCGTAAATGAAGAAGAGACAAGATAGTTGCATGGCTGTTATTAAAGTTTTATAGTTGTCTCATTAAGCAATATAAATGCCTTTCAGTGCATATTTAACTACCTAAAACCAGTGACTGTGTAGTCTGATATTTTCTTACCAGCTGTAGTAGAAAATGGAAGTATATGACTGGAATCAGAACACTGCATTTTATATTAACCCTGTATTTTTTCCTGCCACCACTTGTCTGTCGGTTTGTAATACTGTGGTGGCTTGCATGTTGCTGTGAGGCTGGAAGCTTTGCCACTGGTATTTTAAATACCAGCAGGGTCACACATGGTGGACAGGTTTCAGTGGAGCTTCCAGACTATGACAGACTAGGAAGAAGGACCTGGCAATATACTTCTAAAAAAAAACTGGCCGGTGAAAACCTTATGAATAGCAACAGAGCATTGTCTAAATCAACATCCATGGAAGCAGCAGTCAAGAAGTCAAACAGTGTATTGCATTGGGTAAATCTGCTGCAAAAGACTTCTTGAAAGTGTTCAAAAGCAAAGATGTTACTTGGAGGACTAAAGTGCGCCTGACCCAAGCCATGGTGTTTTCAGTCACTTCAGATGCATGCGAAAGCTGGACGGTGAATGAGGAAAACTGAAGAAGAACTGATGCCTTTGAATTATGATGTTGGCGGAGAATATTGAATATATTCTTCTGCCAGAAGAATGAACAAATCTGTCTTGAAAGAAGTGCAGCCAGAACGCTCATTAGAAGTGAGGATGGTGAGACTTCATCTCACGTACTTTGGACATGTTATCAGGAGGGACCAGTTCCTGGAGAAAGACATCATGCTTGGTAAAGTAGAAGGTCAGCAAAAAAGAAGAAGACCCTCAATGAAATGAATTCACACAGTGGCTGCAATGATGGGCTCAAACATAGCAGTGATTGTGGGGATGGCGCAGGACCAGGCAGTGTTTCGTTCTGTTGTACATAGGGTTAGTATGAGTAGGAACCAACTTGACGGCACCTAACAACAACAACAACAACATTGCTTCCCATATTATATCTTTTTAGAAATACAGTATCAGAATTCCATAAGGCACTTTCCATGCTGCTTATGAATCTCCTGTGCTTTTGTAGCTGATGCTTGTTATTCCACAATTAAGGATTTTAACCAAGATAGCTTTTGAAGGACAAAAAAAGATTCTTAATTTTGTTTATTGCCTAGGACAGTGTTTGTCCAAATATGTTCCTTTCAGCACCAGGAGTCTGTGATATTGCTTATTTTAAAAAGCATATTTGTGGACCCCACTGTAAGAAATTCAGATTCAATAGGGCTGAATGGGATGCAGGAATCTGCATTTTAATAAGCCCCCAAGATAATTCTTATGCACATTCAATTTTGAAAACCACTGAATATGGAGCTATATTATATTTGGTACCTCGTTTAGTGGGGAGAATAATCCCAAGGAATAGGTTTTACAGATTGTGTAACTGAGGATCTGTAAAGTTAAGAAACATAAGTCAGTGACAGGGCCACAATTGATTTGACCTCCCAGATATTTTAAATTTTGAGAATGGGGTGCTTCATTGGGAACCAGTATCATTTTGGTCCCTAGAATGTTATCCCTAACACCTCTAACTCTCCATACATACCAGAAGATGTCGGTACTTGATGTGTCTTGTCAATTGTCTTTTTTTGGTTTTGGTTACTGTGAACCTAAGCAACTAAGGACTAGACCTCTAGTCCTTATTGCAGCTTCTGATCTGAAATATTTACTGATCCATTCATTCAACGAATGTTTGATGAGCACCAGCTATTTTGCAGGCCTTGTACTAGGTGTTATGGATACAGCAGTGAACAAACAAAGATGCTAGCCTTCAAGAAGCTTACGTTTGCATTAAGACATAAATAAGTAAAAATAACAACATAAAAAAGTAAAAATTAATATGTAAGGTGATGATAAACAGAGAAAAGATTAAAGTTTTCAAGAATTTCATTTTACTTGGGCCTACAGTCAACACACAGCAGTCAAGAAATCAAAAGACACATTGCATTGGGCAAATCTGCTGCAGAAGACCTGTTTGAAGTATTAAAATGCAAAGATGTCACCTTGAAAACTTAAGGTGCACCTGACCCAAGCCATGGTATTTTCAGTTGCCTTATATGCATGTGAAAGCTGGACAATGAAGACGGAAGATCGAAGAAGAACTGATGCCTTTCAATTATGGTGTTGGCAAAAAATATTGAATATACCATGGACTGCCAAAAGAATGAACAAATCCGTCTTGGAAGAAGTACAGCCAGAATGCTTCTTAGAAGCAAGGATGGTGAGACTTTGTCTCTAGTACTTTGGACATGTTATCATGAGGGACCAGTCCCTGGAGAAGGACATCATGCTTTGTAAAGTAGAGAGTCAGCAAAAAAGAGGAAGACCCTCAATGAGATGGACTGACACAGTGGCTGCAACCATGGGCTCAAGCATTACAGCAATTATGAGGATGGTGCAGGACTGGGCAGGGTTTTGTTACGTTGTACATAGGGTCACTATGAGTCGGAACTGACTCGACAGCACCTAACAACAACAACAAGATGATGAGTTAGGAAAACAATAAAAGGTCAATCAAGGTAAGGGGAATCTGGAATATGAGGATGGGGGGAGATTGCAGTATTAAATAGATGAGCAAACTAGGTCTAACTGAGAGCATGAAATATGAGCAAAGACGAGAGGGAAGTGAGGGAGTCAGTCAGGTGGATATCTGGAGGAAAAGTGATCCAGGCAGAGGCAGTATCTACAGCAATGCTTTCTAATAGAACTTTCTGCAACTGTATCTGTGCTGTCCAGTATAGCAGCCACTAGCCACATACAGCTATTGAGCAGTTGAAATGTGGCTAGTGCGACTGGGAAACTAAATTTTCATTTTAATTTTAGTTGATTTAAATGGAAATGTAAATAGCCACTTGTGGCTAATGGCTATTGTATTGGACAGTGAAGAGCTAGTGTAGGCCTGAAGGCAAGAGCATGAGAAAGGGAAAGGACGCCAGTATGACTGGAGTGGCAAGAGTGGGGAGGGGATAGTAGATGAGATCAAAGAGATAAAGGGAGTCCAGATTATATAGGGCCTGATAAGCCATTGGAGGGTTTTGAACAGAGAAGCAGCGTGATCTGATTATTTTGAATAGATCTCCCTGACTATTGCTTTCAGCATATATTATAGGCAGACAACGGTAGAAACAGAGAGACCTGTTAGCAGGGCAGGTAACAGCTGATGGCAGCTGTAGTCAAGGTGGTGGTAGTAGAGATGGTGGAAAGTGATCAGATGCTGGATATATTTTGAAGGAAGGGCTAGTATTATTCCCTGAAGGATCAGATATTGGAGGTAAGAGAGAATAATTAAAGAATGCCCTAAAATTTTTAGCGTGAGCAGTGGCAGAGTAGAGTTGTCGTTACCTGAGATAAGTAAGGCAAAGGAATAACAGATTTGAGGGGAAGATGCAGAGTTCGGTTTTGAACATGAAGTTTGAGATGTCTATCAAGTAACCACATAGAAATGTCAAGTATACAGCTGGATAAATGATTCTAACATTCAAGAGAGAGATTTGGGCTGAAGTTTTTAATTTAAAAGCCATCCATATACAGATGGAATTTAAAGCCATAGCACTGGATGAAACCCTGGAGAGAGCAAGTATAAATAGTGAAGAGAGAAGGTCCAACAATTGAGCCTGGGAACACATCAACATTAAAAGGTCAGGGGAGGAGGAATCTCCAGTGAGGTAGAAGGAATACCAAATGAGTGAAGTGTTGTCATTGTTAGGAGCTGTGGAGTCGATTTTGACTCATAGTGACCCTATATGACAGAGTAGAACTGCCCCATAGCGTTTCTTAGGCTGTAATCCTTACGGGAGCAGATCACCAGGTCTTTTCTCCCGCAGAGCCATTGGTGGGTTTGAACCACCATGAAAGGAGAGCCAAATGAAGAAAATGTATCAGGGAGGAGGGGATGAGCAACTGTATCAAGTGCTGCTGATGGATCAGTCAACCAAGTTGAGGACCATTGGATTTAGCAAAATGGAAGTAATTTGTGACCTTGTAGTAGTGGGTGTAAAACCTGTTTGGAATGGGCTTACGGGAGAATGGAGGGAGGAAAACTAAAGTATAGGCAATTATTTTCAAGAGTTTTGCTGCAAAGGGGAGCAGAGAAAAAAGATGGTAGTATAGAGAAAGTGGAATCAAAAGAAGGGTTTTTTTTTTTTTTGATAGTTTTTATTTATTTATCTTTTTGGCAATGTCAGAAATAATAGCTTGTTTGTATGCTGATATGAATGATCCAATATAGAATAGAAAGTTGATGAAGTGTAAGAGGGGAGAATGACTGAAATGATGTCCTTGACTAGACGAGAAGGGAAGGATCTAGTGTCCAAGTAGAGCAATTAGCCTTAGGGAGGAGCCCAAAAAGTTGATTTATGGTAAGAGGGAGGAAAGTGGCATGTGTAGGTATATATGCTGGTTTAAGTGGGTAGTTGTGGTAGTGATAGTCTAAAGTTCTTTTATAATTGCTTCAGTTTTCTCAGTGTAGTTGGAAACAAAGTCTTCAGCTGAGAGTGAGGAATGAGGAGGGTCTTTTGGGAGCTTGAGGAGAGGGGGAAAGGTGAGAAATACTTGTCTAGAACAGAGAAGAGTAAACCAGTATTGCACTCTTAACTTCAGCAGTATTCCCAAGAAACAGAAGGTTGGGATTTGAGAGTGAAGTTTGGCACTTGTTTTCTCTATGCAATTCAGTAAGAATTTATTCAGTACCTACCATATAACAGGTAGTGTACTGTGTCTTAGAAATACAAAGATGAGTTATCTGTACAGAAATGGTATCATTAGCCTTACAGAAAATCTCCAGACATGAATCACTTGACACCTTGACCAGGTGGGCAGGAACTAAGTATTTGTGAGTAACTGCTATGTCCTGGGCTTTTTCCACATGAAGATGAGAAAGATACTTAAGATGTCTTTGAAATTTTTATAGACCAACAAAGTAATGTTACTATGTGAAAAGGATTTGTATTTATAAGGCGGATTAAGAAGACTCTTTTTTTTTTCCCCCAGCTTGTGGTTACTGGGATGAGAAACCACCCTATGAATTTGCCAGTGCAACTGGCTGCAAGCGCCTGTGTGTTTAATTTAACCAAGCAGGATCTTGCTATAGGAATGCCTGTACGACTCCTGGCTGATGTGACCCATTTGCTACTCAAAGCTATGGAACATTTTCCCAATCACCAGCAGGTAAGCATAAGGGAATTCCAATTCGAATACTCCTTTTAGTGTCTCTTTCTACCCATGTCCTACTTCCATACTTAAATTCAGTTCCAATTTAGTAGACAGGGATGAAAGTTCAAATGGCTTTGGAGGCTGTAAGGTAATTACATTTGCAGTATAGCTAGGTGTAGGACAACAGAGAAGTGGGAAACTAAAGAGTGCATTCCCTGCCTAAAAGTGTTTAAATCCAAATGTTGGGGGGAAAAGTACAAACCATACAAAACTCATCTTCCACCTGGATCTTGAGGTTATGATGATCTCAGGAAACAGGCACAGGGCATCTGCTCTGGGCCAGACATTGTCAAGTGCAGTGATACAGAGATGAGCAAAATTTTTCATTTCTAGAAGTATGGTAGACTACGTAACCTATCTCATTTTCATTATGACATCTAAAAAGTTGATTGAATTATTTTTGTAAGTCTTTTAAAATTCAGTAGTGAGTTGGCAAGTTAGTAAAAAATACTCAGAAGTCCAAAACCAACTGCAAATGGGATCACAGCATGGTGAATGCATCATTAAAGCCAGCTTTCCTCATTGAGGGCAGTTGCCAAACTGGATGAACTTTAAGCTTTATGTTTCATGGCATTTGGAAGCCAGGTGGATGGAAAACAAAACCCAGCATCCACTCAAAGTATGGAGTCTAATAGAAGACCCCTTGTATAAAACTGTGACCCGCCCCCCCAGAAGGGTGCACCTTAGTATAAGGGTATTATATGTAATCTGCAAACTTAGAAAAACAACAAGAGGAAAGACAAATAATAAAGATGAAAGTAAAAATTAATTAAATAGAAAAGAAACGTACCATTGAATTAGAGAGGATCAACTTTGCCAAGAATTGGTTCTTTGAACATTTTCATAATATTGACAAATCTTTGGCAAAATTGACCAAGGAAAGTTGAGAGGATGCAAATAAATAAGATTAGGAAACAGGGCAGGGAGGAATGGGAAATGACTGCTAATGGACATGGGTTACTTTTGGGGTGATAAAAATTTCTGAAACCGATTGTGGTGATGGTTGCACAACTCTGTGAATATACTAAAAACCATTGAATTGTACACTTAAATAGGTAAATTGTATGATGTGTGAATTATATCTCATAAAGCTGTTTTTTTTTGTTTTTTTTTTATTATTGTGGTAATTAAATGAGGTTTACATTTCAAGTTAGTCTCCCATACAGAATTTTTTTTTTTTAACATACATTGTTATGAGACCCCAACCGCTCACCCCATTCTGCAACAGCACACTCCTCCCTTCCGCCTCTGATTCCCCATGAACATTCAGCCAGCTCCTAACTCTCTCTGCCTTCCCCTCTCACCTCTGGACAGAAGCCGCCCCTTTGGTCTCTTATATCTACTTGTCTAAGAGGCACATTCTTCCCAAGTATCACTTTATGTCCCACAGTCCAGTCCAATCCCTGTTTGAAGAGTTGGCCTACGAAATTGTTTTAGTCCTGGGGTGATGGAGAGACCAGGGGCCATGCTTTCCGGGGCGCTTCCAGTCATAGTCAGACCATTAAGTCTGGTCTTCTTACTAGAATTTGAGTTCTGCATCCCATTGTTCTATTGCTCCATCAAGGACCTCTGTTGTGTTCCCTGTCAGGACGTTCATTGGTGGTAGCAAAGCTGTTGTTTTAAAAGAAAAAAAAAGAATGTTCACAATAGCACTGTTTGTAATGAAACAAATTGGAAACAACCAAATGTCCTTCAGCCTGGGTTTAGTCATACAGTGGAATATTTAAAGGTAATGAATGATGAATGAATTACAACTACAGACTAAACCTAGGTCAAGCTCAGTAACAAGTTGGATATGAAAAATTTCTGAAGAGTACGTACACTGTGTTTCTGTTTACTTAAAGTTCATAAGCTTTTCAAAACTGTATGATATTCAGGGATGCAAATATGTGTTAAAACAATTTTTAAAAAAGCAAGGGACTGTTAAACACAAATTCAGGCTAGTGGTTCCTCTGAAAGAAGAGGAAAACAGTAGGGAATGGAGAGGGCAAACACAGTTACGTTAATGGTGATATTCTGAAACTGGGTGGTAAGTACACAGGTATTCATTGTATTGTTATTCCTTATACCCCTGCTACTCAAAGTGTGTTCTGCTCACCACCTGTAGTGGCATCTCCTAGGTGCTTGTTAGAAATGCAGCGTCTCAGACCTATCCCAGACCTACTGAATCTTTTTATAAAGATCCCCAGGTGATTTATATGCACATTAAAGTTTGAGATGCACCACCTATGGCTTATATACATTTTATAAATATTTTTCTGTATTTATAAATTCTTTAATAAGAGACTTCTAACTTACTCAAATTTTTAAAAATAAATAAGCTCCTGGGAACTGACAGGTTAGTGAGAAAGTTGCATATTCTATAAAATATTATGTAAGTTCTCTTCTGCTATTTGAACTAAAAGCCACAGAAACTAGAAGAAAGTGATTAATTCTACCAGCTAAATTGGTGTACAGACAAAGGTCCTAGCCAAGACTTTAACAGGGAGATGACATTTGAGTCAGATTTTGAAAAATGGATAGGATCTCACATGGAGAGAAGCAGAGAAAAGCAGTGGACCTTATAGGAAAGTACAGGGCATCCCAGGAAGGACAAGTTGCTGTGACTGGAGTGTTGGGTAGGGTGGGTGGTGTGGGATGAGGCCAGCAAAATACAGCTTGGGGGCCAGATTTGGTGAAGGCCAGCATAGAAAATTCTTGAATATTTGCATATTTCAGGCTTAACCCTAAAAATTCAAAACTCTAGCTAAGTAGAGCTTGAAGGCTATAGCAAATGTTATCACTTTTTCTGAATTTGCCTGTGGTGCTTTTCAGATGTGGTAAGTCATAGATCCAGTGAAACTTATCTTCTGTTCCCATTTTAGCCAGTTTTAGTGAATTCAAGCTATGTGTCCCTTTGCTAAGTTCTGCGAATTCAGACACAGGAGTACATAATGTAGTCTAGTGTGGCAAGTACTAGGATAGAAATAAGTACTGTTGGGAGCACAGAAAGAACATTTAGAAAATTAGGAAAGCTTCCTCAAAGAGGTAATATCTGCCCTGAGCTGGGTTGTGAAAGAAAATTAGGGTTTTTTCCAGGCAAAAAAGGAGGTGAAACGGGCTTTCCAACCAGGGGTATTAAAAATGGTATTATTATCTCTCTTATTTCCATGAATCCTGTACAAATTAATATGTCTGTTTGGGCAGACGAGTAGGGAGAAAGGTGGTATAGGGAGAAAGGTGCACCCCTACATTTTGCAGATGACTATTCAGATTTCTAGGGAGGTAGATGGATCCCCAAGCATAGAGTCCAGCCCATTACCTTGCTTACCTCTGCTGAATATAAAACTTAGTGAGAAGCCTTCTTAATTAATTATACATATACCCTACTTGTTCAATATCATCCATCTGGGATTTAGTACTACTATGTCTTTTTTGTACCATTCCTTTTATTATATAATCTCTGTATGTCTCCGATGAAACAGATAGGATATTGGTTTTATATCTGTTTTTTTTCTCCTTGACTAGCTTTATATATCCCATTAGTCTGAGTTTTGTTTTCTGCCTATGAACTCTCTTGTAATGAATTTGCTTTTTTAGACAGGAAATCTTCCAACTGTACACAGAAAGCTTTATAAAATATGAAAAGGCCATTTTTCCAAACAAAAAAATTAGTAGTATGCTATATGCTTTTTTTTCCCCATCCACACCTTAAAAGTTCTTATTTTGCTTCCTGGGACTGTTGTCACTTACCGTTCCATTATGATGGTGTACCTTCACTCTATTGATTAATGATTCATATTCTCAGTTACTCTTATTTAATTGTACTGATTTAAAATTTATTTAAAAGATAGAGCCAAGTCTATCAGTCACTCTATATTTAGAGGCCAATGTGTGGAAGACTAGTCTTGTATGCTATAGGTTAGAGTCAAGCTATCTTCAAAGCAGGCTGGGTTAAAATTTTTGATACTGCTGTATGGTGGTGCAGTGGTTGAGAGTTATGGCTGCTAACCAAAAGGTCAGCAGCTCGAATCCACCAGCTGCTCCTTGGAAACCCTATGGGGCAGTTCTACTCTGTCCTGTTGGGTCACTATGAGTTGAAATTGACTTGATGGCAACGGGTTTGGTTTGGTTTGGTATATGTCACCAGGCATAATTTTCAACCATGGCTTTTGCCATTCTCTCATCTCAAAAACACACAAAAGACAGGATTATCTCCTTATAGACCACCAGAGGGAGGAGATTAGTAGGAATTTCCTGGCCTGTGAAGTTACTTACCTAATGGAAAAGACAGGGAAAAAAATATGTGCAGGTAAGCTTATATAGGTCCAATGTAAGTCAGTTGTTCAGGAGTAGATGAGCAGAATAAAGGTTATAAGAAGTTACTGGTATTTTATCACTCTTCTCCTTCTTATTTATTTATTTATTTATTCCTTATACAGGCACTTCTGTTTAAAAAATTAACAATAAAATGATATTTTATTCTTTTTTTTTTTTTTTTAGTTACAGAAGAATTGCCTCCTTTCACTTTGCAGTGACCGGATCCTTCAAGATGTCCCATTTAACAGGCAAGTGATAGCCCGAGAATTTAAAATGGGGCAAAACTGAATTTTAAAATCTTTCTTGGGTCATTTCTTACCAGTTAGGATATCCCTGGTGTAAAATTAATTGGGTGGATGGGATTGTGCATTGCCTTACATAATGCTAAATCTGCATCTCTGATTTAGTGCTTTGACTTTCATGATAGCAGATTGGCCGCTGTTTTCATAACCAGTTGCTTAAGCATTTATATTGGTTATAGTTTTCAGAATATCCACACAACATGGTGGGCTATATGGGTATTATTATCCCCATTTGAAAGATGAGGAAACTAAGACATATATGTAGTGTCTTGCCCATGGTTATATAATTAGTAACTGCAAGGCTAGAAGGATTCAGGTCTTCTAGTTCTAGGTTCAGTGTTCTCTTCTCTGTATCATACTTCTTATTATTATTTGATAGTCAATTATGAAGGAAACCTTTAAAGCAGGGATTACGGGAGGCCATAAAACTGGATTCCATTAAGTATAAGGGGACTTAATTTTCTAAGATGCTGTGATTTAGAAGATAAAAAAGTGATGGATTTTTGTTTTTGTGTTTTTTTAAAAGATATTTTATTGTGTTTTTGGTGGAAATTTACACAGCAAATTAGGCTCCCATTTAACAATTTTTATATATATTGTTCAATGACACTGGTTACATTTTCCACATTGTGTCAACATTCTCATTATTTCTGTTCTGGTTATTCCGTTTCCCATTAATCTAGCTTCCCCGCCCTCCCCGCCCACCCCTTCTCATCTTTGCTTTAGACCATTTGGTCTCATGGAGATGATTTTTTAAAGGAGCACAGCACTGACAGTTGATTATTTTATGAGCCAATCTGTTATGTAGCTGAAAGATGACCTCCGGGAATGGCTTCAGTTCAAAGTTTAAAGTTATCTCAGGGCGACAGTCTAGGGGGTTCCTCTAGTCTCTACCAGTCCAGCTTAGAATTTGGCCTTTAGTTAAGAATTTGAGTTTTTTTCTGCAATTTTCTCCCATTCTATCTGGGACCATCTATTGTGTCCCTGGTCAGAACCGTTGGTAGTAGTACCCAGGCACCATCTAGTTATTCAAAAGGTGATTTTTTTTTATGTTACTGTTTCAAAATAGGGTTTTCTAATTATAGTATTTTGAAAAGGAAGTTTATACTTCATGGTTTAATGAAAAGTATGTTTCTCAAACAACAATTTTACTGTGATTTACTTTGAGTTGGGTAACAATACATTGTTATCTGGCATCGCTGAGGAATGAGGCATTCCATTTAATCTTTGAAATAGCTTAGATAAAAATATAACTATATATTGCTGAGTTTTTAATGAGTTTGAATATGGTAAATCATATCAAGCTGTAAAGCTACATGAAATATTTATTAGACTCAGAAACGATTTCAGGATGCAATTTAATAAATATTGAGCATCTGTGCTGATCATTGCGTTGAAGTCTAAAGTGAACAGATACATAGTCCCTCTCCTAAAGAAGATGCTAATCTAGTGAGAGGTTGGCAGACTTTTTCTTAAGGGGCCAGATAGTAAATATTTCAGGTTTGTGGGCCATAAAATCTCTGTTGAAACTACTTAACTCTGCCATTGTACCTGGAAAGCATTCCTAGACAATATGTGTTGAAAAATGGATGTGGGTATGTCCCAATAAAACTTTATAAAACAGGCCAGCCAGAAGGCGGTATTTTACCTGTCTCTGATCTAGCCAGTGCACTCTGCTAGAATGTGTTCTTCTTTATGGTCAGGCTGTAATTGTTCATCTCTTTGTCTCTAGTACGTAAGTGAATGTTTAATGAATGGATGGGCAAATGATTAAATGAATATAATATAAAAAAGAATTTACCATAGAAGTGTTGACAGAATGCCTTGGGTTCCCAAACATGGAGGGAAAGATATTATCTGATTGGTGATCATTAAGGACTTCATGTTAGCGATGACACTTGAGATAATAAACATGTATGAGGCACTTACTGTTGCTAGGCACTCTGCTAAGTGTTTTATGTATGCCTATCTCAGTTCTCACAACAACCTTGTGAAATTGTTACTCTTGTAATCTTCATTTTACAGATGAGGAAATGGAAGCACAGAGAGGTTTAGTAATTTGCTCAGGGTGTTAGGATAGTAAGTAGCGGAGTCCAGATTTAAGTCCAGAGCCTGCACTTTTTACATCTGTACTATATTGCCTTGAAGATGGCAGCTGGTTGGGTTGATAGTTTTAGGCTATGGAAACTGTATGAACACATGCACAGTCAATAATTTATTTTATTATTATCATTAATATTTTGTAGAACTAGAATTCAAATCCAGGACTGACTTCAAATCTGTGCTCTTAGCTACTAGACTATACTGCTTCATAATTGTGGGCATATTTGGGGACTAATGAGCAGTTCACCTTTGCAGAGAGCATAAGGTTAGCAGGAAAAAAGATTTGAAAGTATGTTCCCATGCTAGAGTCTTACTAGAATGCTGTGAGTACAGGAGTGACATTATACCTAAGTCCTTTGACAGGTTTATTTATTACCAGTATGCAGGCACAAATTGAAGGGGAAGCATGGAAGGCAAAGTGGCCAATTAAGAATCTCTTGTAGAAGAACAGAATGCCAGTAATGAACCTCATTGGAGATGGCCTTGGGAATAGAAAGGAAGTAACAGTAAATTTGAAGGAAGTTGCAGAGGATTAACTAACATCAATATAATCATTCAGCCAATGTGTATTAAGCATTACTTATGTGTCAAGCACTGTATTGGGTACTTGATATAAAGGGCTAAATAGGATATGGTCCCTTCTCTCCAAGGAGCTCACAGGCCAATGGTGGATTCAGGTGAGTCTACAGATCATCACAACTTTTTGACAAAAATATAAACAAAGTGCTAAGCAGCAGTGAGAAGGCAATGATAAACTCATCAAGGAAAGTTTCTCAAAGGCAGTGATATTTGAGCTGAGTCCTGAAGGTTGAAACTATGGGTAAGATAATCAGATATATTTTTTGGTGTCATCCTTTATTTTTCTCTTTCTCTCTCATCCCACATTTGGTCCTTTGGCAAATCCAGCTCTATGTTCAGACTATATCCAAGATTTGACCATTTCTCTTCACTCCCACTTCTACCACTTTAGCCCAAGTGGTTTCTCACCTGAATTATTGCAGTAGCCTCTTAACTGCTCTCCCTGCTTTTGTCCTTACCCCCCTAAAGTTTATTCTAAACACAGATGATAGAGTAATTCTATTAAAACATGTCAGTTCGTGTCACTTCTGTACTCAGAACCCTCTGATGGCTTCACATCTAACTCAGAATAAAAGCCAATTCTTTTCTAAGGCCCTATATGATCTGGCCTCTCTTGTTACCTCTGACCTCATCTCTTACTACTCCTCCCCTTGTTCTCTCTGCTCTGGCCTCATTGGCTTCCATGTTTTTTCTCAAAACCTCTAGGCACACTGCCACTTCAGGGCTGTTATACTTCCCATTCCCTCTGCGTGGAATGCCTTTCCCCTAGATATTCACATGATCAGTTCTCTTACTTCCTGGAAAGCTTTGATGAGGCCTTCCAAGCTACCTTAGATAAAGTTTCAGCATTTCATAACTCCCGTTCCCTGCTTTATTTTTTTCTCTTCATAGCATGTGTCAGTAACGAACAATACCATATATTTTACTTGTTTATCTGATTTATTATCAGTCTTCCCCACGAGAATGTAAGCTCTGTGAGGGTCAGGACTTTTGTCTGTTTTGTTCACTATCTCTAGCAGCAAGAACAATATCTAGCACAAAGCAAGGACTCAAAGTTTGTGAATGAATGAATGTTCTCGTCGTGCTGGGCAATATGAAGAACCACGTAATACCTAAACTATTACTACAGTATAAAAATATGTTACAATTCTGGGAGATGAAATGCCAGACAAATACTTTTGACCATGTTTTCTAAACTCTTGCTTCTTTACAAAGTGTTGTCAGAATTAATAATAAGGCACTATCTCCAAAACACCATGTAATTGTTATTCTCTATCAGTTCAGAGGAATTTTCCATTTCCTTCCTAAACTGTAGCATCAGTTACCAACTGGAGCTCTGAAACTGCACTCAGGCCTCCAGGATTAATTCTTGAAACCCTTTGTGTATTTTCAGGTTTGAAGCAGCCAAGCTTGTCATGCAGTGGCTCTGCAACCATGAGGATCAAAACATGCAAAGGATGGCAGTTGCTATAATTTCCATCCTGGCTGCCAAGGTACCTGAACTCTTGCTGGATAATTCTTTGTAGGCAGCTGTTTTCTCATTACAATTACCATATCCCCCAAAATTTCTGTACCAGAGAGATTAGTAAGGCTCTCTGTCAGTCTGCTCATTCAGGCTGCATTCAACATGGCACTATTCCAGGATGCTCCTAGATTTTAGTCTGACATTGGAGTCTGTGACAGTGAATGAGTTCTTGGACATTTACCTTGTCTTCTTACTTGCAGCTTTCTACAGAGCAGACTGCACAGCTCGGTGCTGAGCTCTTCATTGTCAGGGTAAGTCTGTTACCTTCTCTATGCAGGCCACTAGAGAGTAGTGGTTTTCAGACAGTGTTGTATATCTTCTGACATTTTGTATTCTTTTTAAAAAAGGTGTTACTTCTAAATGGACTTTTTTTTCTCCCCCATGGAAATAGTTTTTATTCCTTCACAAAGTAGAAAGAGCCCTGAACTAGGAGTTGGGTGACCTAGGACCTAACCTTGTAAACTCACTTCGTGAATTTAGACAAATTACTAGCATCATTGAGATCTACATAAGCCTTAAGGTCTCACCTAGTTCTAAAAGTCTACGATTTTTGTTATTTATGAAGAAAATGTGGAGTTTCTACTCTAGGCATAAGATTCTGTTAGATGCTCTGGGGAAGAAAATAATATAAAAAGCTGGTATACGACTTCATTTGCTTACAGTTCAGTTGAGGAAATAATATATGTAATGAACAGAAGAAAAGTTAAAAAAAAAAAAAAGCTTTAAAGAGAGTAAATATGAACAGCATTTTAGGGAGGTCTGGAGGCAAATAAAATCCACCTAGCTTCCTGTCACAATCCTGGCATGAGGTGTCTGAGCAGTAATAGTAAAAGGTAAAATCATATGAGGGACTCTGTTTTTGTATGATTTACAAATTATATATGTAGTGAGAAAGTGAAGTCATTCATCTATAAAGTATCCATCAGGTACCTGCTATCTTTCTCGATGTTGGGGGTTTACAGTGAATTAACTATAACTCCTTCCCATAAGAAGCTCATGGTATAGTAGAGACAATAGCTATAGAGACATGGTTATAATGCAGTCTAATAAGTATAATAACAGAGGTTTGAATGATAAAGCAATGCTGTAAAGAGAGAAGACTCTGTAGTATAATGGAGAGAGTAAAAATTCTAGAGTTGACTATCTGGGTTTATTTCCAATTCTATCACTTACTAGCTTTGCAGTTTTTGGCAAGTCCAATAATTTTTTGGGGGTGATAAAAAATACTTTATACAGTTATGAAGATTAAATAAGGAGAAAAAAAAGAAATATAATTGAAGGAATATACATTAAGAACCGAGCACAAAATATAGTGTATATTAGATGAATAGAAAAGATGCTGATTTTATTTATTTTTACTGTCTTCAGGGATTACGTTTTAGTTTTTCGAACAGCTTCTTATTGCTGTATATGTGTCTCAGTAATTTTGACTAGAAGTATAAAAATTAAAAGATTTTAAGGAAGTAGTCTATTCATATGCTTTGGGGAGAAAATGAAGCTTAGCTTAAGCGGAGATTAGGAGATTAGTAATAATAGTAATAATGAATGGTCCCTAAGTGGTGCAATCGATTTGCACTTGACTGCTAAGCTAAAGATTGGCAATTCAAACCCATCCTGCAGTACCACGGAAGAAAAGGCCTGGTGATTTGCTTCCGTTAAGATTACAGCCAAGAAAACTCTATAGAGCAGTTCTACTGTGTAACACTTGGTGTTGCTGTGAGTAGGGCTTCCAAAGTTTCATTCCAGTTTGAATCCCTGCTGAGAAATTTGCATCTCTAACAAGTTCCCAGCTGATGCTAATCATTCTACCCCAGATATTGTGAATCAGAATCCACATTTTAACTTGGGGATCTTGTTAAAATGTAGAGTCTGATTCAGTATGAGAGTTCCATGAGTGGGAATCAACTAATAACCACAAGAAACAATGCTGATGTTGATGAAAGCTAACATACTTTTTTTTGAGCCTTAATTATCACTCTCATTTACAAATGAGAAAACAAAGATTTAAAGAGGTAAACAATGTTACACAGCTAGTCGAAGGCAAGATTATATTTAAGTACAGCCAGCCTGATTTTAGTGCTACACTTTAGACCACTGCACTATTAAGTTACCTAATTGTACTTAGATGTTTTTCTTAAAGTTTTTTTCCTGTATTGTGTATTACCTTTAATAATAGTATTCATTAATGTTTTCTTATATCTGTTTTAGAGAATTCTCTATTACCCCCAAAAATGTAATCTAAAAGTGGAAGTATGGAATTACCTCTTAAACATAAATTTCTTAAATAAAAGCTGTGATAGAAATAATTTACAAATAGAATTTCAAAGCTATTATTCTCTTAATATCCGATATAGACTTTAATTCTCTTACCAGTGTACGTAGTTTATCCTTTTTTTCTTAAGGAAACTTGGAATTAGATAGGTCTTCCAATTTCTACTGTCTCTTACAAAGTTGAGGGACTATGATCAAGTTACTTAATATTTTTCAGACTCAATTCCCTCTCCTGCCAAATGGGGTTAACTATACTACAATATAGAATATAGTTTGCTGATGTTAATAAATGGTAGTTTCTCTACTTTTTTATCTCAGGATCTGAAATAAGTATATGTGTTGTGACCAATTGTCTAAGATAGTTGTCCTAAGCTTTTAACATTTTGCTTTCAGGTGTTATTTAGAGATGATTAGATTGTTGGTATGATCGGAATAATAATAAGATATTTATGAAGACCCTATACACCTACTCCTCACTTACCGACTGTCTCATTACTGATGTTTCCCATTTACACAATGGTAAAAAATCTGCTATCCGACTATTGTGTGCTTTAACGACCTGCCCACACCTGCACACCTTGGCCTCCCCAGGTTGGTTCAGGGTGCACTGGAGGCAGGAGAGGCGCCGCTCTGGGGTATTTAACCCCATTCCGGAACTCGGAGGGCTCCGGAGGGCTCCGGAGGGCTCCGGAGGGCTCCGGAGGGCTCCGGAGGGCTCCGGAGGGCTCCGGAGGGCTCCGGAGGGCTCCGGCTCCAACCGGCTAGCTCTTCCCCTCCCTCCTTCTGCTTCTCTTCCGGCATGCTTTACCCTCCCCTCCCCCACCACTACCCTTATTTCGTGTGGGTGGGTGCTGGGAGCTGGCGCAGGCAGAGGGCAGCACTAGCCTCTGCAGAGCTGCAGTCCTGGCCGAGGCTTCTGGGCACCACCCAGCCCGCCGCCCCGCTCTGGCACCAAGTGCACCGTTGAGCCTGAGTTGGGACGCTGGGCGGCTGAGGACGCCTGGCCAGCAGCCGCAGCATGGATTCAGATTCCCGCGAGCAGAGTGAGGGCGAGCTTGTGACTGCTGCAGGTACTGAGGGGCAGCAGCCACAGCTGGGAGCGTTGGGGCTGGGGAGGAGGGGAGGCAGAGGCATGAAATCGCGAGTATTTCACTAGTGCTGATTTTCTCATAATTACCTGGTCTTTGGAACCTAAACATGTCGACAAGTGAACAGTGGGTATACTTTTTTCCTGTTTGAAAAACGTCTAATCCAAGGGTCTGTCTGTTGTACTTAGGAACCTTTAAAGGAAATGCTTTAAGCTCTGAGACTATTCCTCATGGACTAGCGGTTATTATTAAATAATGAGAACTTAATTCTATTTTCTTCTTTCAGCAACTTCTTCAAATAGTGAAACAGAAAACCAATCAAAATTCCGTGGACACTACTTTGAAGTTTACATTGAGTGCACTGTGGAACCTCACAGATGAATCCCCAACCACATGCAGACACTTTATTGAAAACCAAGGGTTAGAACTCTTCATGAGGGTTCTAGAGGTTAGAATGGGAATTTAGTCTACAGTTTTGACATTTACTGGTTTATATTTAAGCATTTATTTACTGTATTTGGTTCTTTAATAATTATAGGTTTCTCTTTCTTTTTTACAGTCTTTCCCAACTGAGTCATCCATTCAACAGAAAGTCCTAGGACTTCTGGTAAGATATAAGTATTTCCTTCTGAATTTCAAGCTGTAATTATTTTCTACCTGAGGTAATATTTTTAAAGTTTTTACTATGATATTTGTAAACATTTAGTGACATTGGAAAATACATACAGTGTAATTATTTGAAAGAAGCAGGCTATAAAGCTCTGTATACATATAAAGTTTTAACCACATTTAAAGGAAAAAAGTAAATTATACTTTTCTTTACATTTTTTATATTGTACATCGTTTTAAAGTGGGCATGTTTTACTTTTATAATCAGAAAAAAAGACCTCAGTTAAAAATGTCTTTAACCTACAAGTGTTCTTAGATACTATGTTTAGTAATTAATAGTTACTACCTAAAGGATTGCTTAACAAGTCAAATGTTTCATAATATATTTGGATATAGGCTAAAATGAGCCTTCTAGGATTTTGAGGCAAAGATGAAGAGAGAATCAAAAGTTTTGTCGCTTTTCGTCACTGCAACAGATTAAGTGCCTATGTAAAAGCTATTTTAGAGCAGACGTCTGCTCTCAAGAAATTAGATCAAAGAAGGCATAGGTTAGTGAATAAAAAAAAAAAAGTAACTTGTGTTTGTTTTCAGATGCAAGAGTATAAGAGGTTGAATGATGAGGGGATGAATTTTGGGAAAGCTGAGGGCTGGCATTTAATCAGGAACATAAAAAACTATCTATTGTAACTTGGTTAGTTATGTTTAGTAGAAAATAGAAAACAACCTGAATATCAAGTAATAGGGGAATTATTAAATAAATCCACAGTATTTGATTATCTTATTCAGGGTGCATATGATAGTAAGATACCAAAGTTGATTCAAGTCATTTCAAGTGAAGAAAGGGGATTTTTTTTTTTCAAGGATTCAGAAAGCTGTAATAAGGCTTTCAAAATACTTTTTTTTTTTAATTTAAAAAGAATGCATGCTTATTATAACTAGTGAAACAGTACAAAGATACATTAAAAATAAATATTTAAGACTCTTTCCCCGATCTTACATCACTTTCAACTCCATGACATAATTAATACAACTTGATGTGCTTCCTCCCGTATCTTTCTCCATTACCTTATGAATAAATTTTTTCCAGTAACCTATTTTGAGATATTGTTTCTAGTTTAATTTTATGTGGTCAGAGAACACACTTTGCTTGATTTGAGTAATTTTGAATTTAATGAGACTAGTTTTATGGCCCAGAATATGGTCTGTCTTGGTAAGTGTTCTGTGTGCACTTGAGAAGAATGTGCATTCCACTGTTTTGGGGTATTAAATAAATAAATAGATAAAACCAAACCCATTGCCGTCTAGTCAATTCCAACTCATAGTGAGCCTGTAAGACAGTAGAACTACCGCCTAGGGTTTTGAAGGAGTGGCAGGCGGATTCGAACTGCCCATCTTTGGGTTAGCAGCCAAGCTCTTAACCACTGTGCCACTAGGGCTCCTGTTGTTGGGTGTAGTGTTCTGTAAATACCAAGCAGGTCTAGTTGGTTGGTATTATTCAAGTCTACCATATGCTTCAGGAACCCTGGTGATGCAGTGGTTAAGAGCTCAGCTGCTAACTGGAAGGTCGGCATTTTAAACTCACCAGTCGCGCTCCGCGGGAGAAAGATGTGGCAGTCTGCTCCCATAAAGATTACAGCCTTGGAAAACCCCATGGGGCAGTTTTACTCTGTTCTACAGGGTCGCTATGAGTCAGAGTCGACTCGATGGCGGTGGTGGGACCATATCCTTAACTCCTTTTCTTCCCGCCTGTTCTATTATTGAGAGAAAGGTTTTGAAATCTCTGATTTCTCTGAAATATACTTTGATATTAATATAACCACTCCAGGTTTTGACTAGTGTTTGATGGTGTATCTTTTTATATCCTTTTACTTTTAATATATATTTGTCTTTATATTTAAAGTGCATTTTTTGTAGTCAGCATATACTTTGTATGTTGCTTTTTTATCCAATCGGACAATCTCTGCTTTTTATTGAGGATGGTTAGATCATTTAGAGCCCTGGTGGCACAGTGGTTAAGAGTTTTGCTGCAACCAAAATGTCGGCAGTTCAAATCTACCAGCCGCTCCTTGGAAACTCTGTTGGGACAGTTCTCCTCTGTCCTAAAGGTTGGCTATCAGTTGGAATTGACTTGATGTTAATGGGTTTGGTTTTTTGTTATAGATCATTTACATTTTTTTAAATTCTGTTGTGCATTAGGTGAAAGTTTATAGCACAAATTAGTATCTCATTCAAAAATCTAGACATAAATTATTTTGTGGCATTGGTTACAATCTCTGCAATGTGTCAGCACTCTCCCCCTTTCCTATTACACTCTGGGTTCCCCATGTCCATTGATCCACTTTTCCTGTCTCTTCCTGCCTTCTTGTCTTTACTTTAGGGCAGGTGTTTTAGATCATTTACATTTAATGTGGTTATTGATATGGTTAGAGTTTGAGTCCATCAACTTGATATTTGTTTTCTGTTTGTACCATATGTTCTTTCTTTCGTTTTCCTTTTTTTCTGCTTTCTTTTGGTATAATCAAATATTTTTTATGATTCCATTTTATCTCTTTCTTGGCTTATTAGCTGTTACTCTTTGTTATTTTAATAATTGCTTTGTGCTTATAATGTGCGTCTTTAATCACAGTCTGTTGTTGGTAGGTGCCATCAAATCAATTTTGACTCATAGCTACCCCATGTAATCACAGTCTACCTTTAAGTAATTTTATACAATTTCACATATAGTATAAGAACCTTGGAGTCCCTGGGTGGTGCAAATGACTAAGCGCTCTGCTACCGACCAAAAGGTTGTCAGTTTGAATCCACCCAGAGGTGCCTTGGAAGAAAGGCCTGGTGATCTACTTCCTAAAGATCACTGCCATTGAAAACCCTATGGAGCACAGTTCTACTCTGACACCCCTGAGATCACCATGAGTGAGACTCGACTTGACGGCAACTGGTATAACAACCTTGTAATGGTAGATTTTCATTTCTGTTCTTTCCTTTCTGTTATTATTGTCTTGCATTTACTTTTACATATGTCATAAACCACACAAAATGCTATTATTATTTTCATTTAAAATGTCAATTAAAATTAAATAATTAAATCACAATTAAATTATAAAAACAACCCAAATAGTTACCATTATTGGTGCTCTTCTTAGGTACAGATTTCCCTCTGGTGTCATTTCACTTCTGCTTAAAAGACATTTAACAATTCTTGTAGAACAGGTGTGCTTGTAATGAATTCTTCAGCTTTTGTATGCTTGAAAACATCTTTATTTAATCTTCATTTTTGAAAGATGCTTTTTGCCAGGTATGGAATTCTAGGTTGATAGTACTTTAAAGATGTTGCTCAACTTTTTTCTTACTTGCGTCTTTCCAGTGAGAAATCTGATGTCATCATTATCTTTGTTCTTTTCCTCTGGCTGCTTTTTAAAAAAAATTCTTTATAGCAACAATTATGAACAATTTGATTATGATGTATCTTGGTGTAATTTACTTCATGTTTCATGTACTTGGAGTTCATATAGGTCTATGGTTTTCATCAAGTTTGCAGAGTTTTTGGCCATTATTTTTTCAGCATGGTGTTTTCAAGGTTCATTACTACTGTGGAATGAACAGGACTTAATTTCTCTTTGTAGCTGAGTAGTATTCCATTGTGTATATGTACCACGTTTTGTTTATCCATTAATCTGTTGATGGACATTTTTGTTGTTTCCACCTTTTGGCTATTGTGAAAAGTACTGCAATGAACATTAGTGTAAAGGTTTTTGTCTGCATTCCTGTTTTCACTTCTTCTGTGTGTATTCCTAGGATTGGGATTGCTGCATCATATGGCAGTTTTATGTTCAGCTTTTTAAGGAACCACCAAATTCTTTTCCACAGTGGCTTTACCATTTTACATTCCCACCAACAATGGATGAGGGTTCCAGTTTCTCCATGACCTCTTTAACAGCTGTTGTTTTCCTTTTAATCACTGCCATTCTATTGGGGGTGAAATGGTATCTCATTGTGGTTTTGGTTTGCATCATCCTAATGGCTAAGGATGTTGACCATCTTTTCATGGGCTTGTTGTCCATCTGAATATCCTCTTTGGTGAATTGTCTGTTCAAGTCTTTTGCCCATTTTTTTTTTTTATTGTTGTAGTTTAAATGAAGTTTATACTTCAATTTAGTCTTCCATACAAAAAATTATACGTACATTGTTATGTGACCCTAGTTGCTCTCCCCATACTGTGACAGCATACTCCTCCTTTCCACCCCTGATTTCCCATGTCCATTCAACCAGCTCCTAACCCTCTCTGCCTTTCCATCTCACATCTGGACAGAAGCTGCCTGTTTAGTCTCTTGTATCTACTTGAGCTAAGAGTTACACTCCTCATGAGTATAACTTTATGTCCCA